ATCCACCAACTACAAATCACCCACAACCAGTGTGTGGTAAGCACATCCTTTTACCACAACACCAAAGAACTCTAGCCAATATCCTTCGAAGCCCTACTACAACACTTCACAGGAAAACATGCCACAGGCCAAAAAGTACAAGGTAGTCACTACCTCTCTCAATCCCAAAACCTTCCAAGCCGTGTCTCACACGGACCTCCAATTTGCAAACCCCACCTCCAGCCAAGTCAACTATTAGAGGCTCATCTTCAACTGGTGACCAGAGCCAGCAGGTGAGCCACACGCATGCCCAATGACTCACCCAATCTAAACTATTTTGATTCCTCTAATATCCAAATGTAACCAGACTGAGTCCCCTTGATTGATTCCCGCTTCAATCAGACTGGTTCAACATTAAATCTAAGCACCATATGTATGAGATAGACGATAGCACCAGATTTGAGATAATTCAAAATACAACTAATGCAATTTTGAAAGAATTAAGACACTTGCCTACTACACAAATAGCTCCACTAGTTCAAGACCTAAAAGTTGCACAGGCAAATGGTGTTGATAGGAGATACAATGAAGATAATGCTGGAGACATTATCAAGAAAGACAAAGTAGAAGTCCTAATTTTGATGGAAGTTGTGATCCTAACCTTTTATTGGCTTAATTCAATGGGAGAATAATTTAAATGAGTACGATATGTCATACGCATGATGAGTCAAATCTACCACAATAAAATTGGTTGGACTCACAAAAATATGGTCCTTCAATATTTCATGTGAATGTACCACGAAGAAAAAAAACAGAAACTGAAAAAATGGAATGAGATGAAAACCACTCTTTGTGAAAAGATATTTACCTGTCAGCTACTTTAACAAGATTATTGACCAAGCATACATTTCAATTCAAGTTAACATGTTGCTTATTAGGTACATATAAAGTTTGAAGAAGTAAATATTTGAAGTCAAGTTGATAGTCAAGTTGTATATTGATTCAGAGGAGGATTAAGGACTAAACAATTGAAAGAGAATTAATTCGACAATTTCTGAAACCACAACCCAACCTAATCAAGCCGCTCTTAACATGAAAAAATATTTAACATATCCGATTCCTAGAAATATATAGTTTTTCATTATAGCATCAACTTCAAACAAGATCCTGAATCAAAAGGCGGCTGAAGAATGGATCAACATCGATTTCAAAGTCTTTTCAAAAATAAGGAAATTGTTTGTTTAACAGTCGACAAAGTGGACATATGGTTTACCAACAACTTGCATGTTAAAATGAAACATGCAGGGAAGAGACGATGGTTATGTATTATATGAGGATAATGATCTAGCTTATGGTTAACATGCAAATACCTCTCTTTTTTATATGATAAGATGCATATCATCAACATCTAAAGTGGAAAAGAAGTAAGAATAACCACCATGTGTTCCT